TCTTGTGCTTTTGTGGATCATGTGCAAACCTCCATGTCTGAAGACATTCTGTTTTCTCCAGATGATGGCCACATGTCATAATTTACAATCAGAATCACACTGGGACATAGGAATCTGTGTGCATGAACAAGGCTGTCTGAGGCTCAATAACTCTAAGAACAGGGGTGTACCTTGTTGTTCCTTGCTTGTTTGCTTTGCTGAGCATTTTTCATAACTGACACATCACAGTGATCCATGCGACGGTCATCTCCAGGCTTGACTACTGTAATTCGCTCTACGCGGGGCTGCCCTTGAAGCTGTCCCAGAAACTCCAGTGGGTGCAGAATGCTGCAGCGAGGCTCCTCACGGGGTCTCTGCCATGGGAGCATATTCACCCAGTGCTTTTCAACCTGCACTGGCTCCCGGTGGAGTACAGGGTCAGATTTAAGGTGCTGCTTTTGACCTTTAAAGCCCTTCACGGCCTAGGACCCTCGTACCTACGGGACCGCCTCTCCCGGTATGCCCCACGGAGAGCCTCAAGGTCCATAAATAGCAACACCCTAGAGGTCCCGGGCCCTAAGGAAGTTAGATTGGCTTCAACCAGAGCCAGGGCCTTTTCAACTCTGGCTCCGGCCTGGTGGAACACTCTGCCTCATGAGACCAGGGCTCTGCAGGATCTGATTTCTTTCCGCAGGGCCTGTAAGACAGAGTTGTTCTGCCTGGCCTTTGGCTTGGAGCCAATTTGATTCCCTCCCTCCCTCTCTTTCTTTTTTCTTTTCCTTCTCCTCCTGCGATGAGGCTGCATTTTAATATTTTAATGTTCCATTATCTTAATGTTGTATTTTATTTTTGTTTTTAAGTTGTAATCATTCATCGTGTTTTTATTATTGCTTGTAAGCCGCTCTGAGCCCAGCCTTGGCTGGGGAGGGCGGGGTATAAATAAAAAATTATTATTATTATTATTATTATTATTATTATTATTATTATTATTCCTGTTGTGAACAAGAGTTGGTGACATCTTTGAGAATTGTTAATGCATGTGCAGAGCATATCAATATTGTTTCCTGTTCCCATGTACAGACACATTTTATTGCCTGTGATTTTCCACTTTAATCTTTGTCAAATGTTTATGTTGGAAATATAGATTAAGCATTCGAAAGCCTGCATATATATATGCAAGTTCCCTTCTTTCTGCCTGTAGCCAATTTATTTTATGTTGTGAAATAGGATTTCATAGATAAGGATGGTATCAGTGTTGTACAGTACATCTCCATGTGGCTTACGGGTGTTAGAGATTGGAAATAGATATGGTTGATTTACCCAGATTGCCATTTAAAAATATCCTTTTCCAAGTCACATCGTACATGTATATTGATTGGGTGCGTGTGGGGAGAATGATTCAAGGAGAAAGGAGGGCATTGGCACCTTCCCATTCTCTAAGCTGTTCCCAAGAGAAACTCACAGATTGTTCACACTCATTTCATATTCCTGTATACACTCCACCCCCCTCCCAAAGAGTGTGTCTCACAAGCCCTTGTGTACAGTGGGGATGGGCAAACTTCAGAATACTAAGCTATTGTTGCTGTTGGCATCTTTTCCATAGCCAAAGTTTCAAGAAAACAGAGTTGTGTGCAAAAGACTCTGAAAGACTTGGGTCTCATACCACTTCATAGGATTCATAGCTTTGTTCCCTGCCCCAATAATCCTGGGACCTGTAGTTTCTTAAGAGCTGTTAGGAGACCCTTAACAAACTACAGTTGCCAGGATTCTGTGGGGTGAAGCAGTGGCGGACCTGCTGGGGGTCTCAAATTTCAGCTGCATCCTGTGCTGTTGCTGTGATTCATTCTTCTGGTTGGTGCTGGCCCATTAGAGGGCCTTATTGATAACTGCTTTCCATTTATGGAATGCCCTCTTTGGTGAGATGCATCTCTCTCTCTCTCTCCATTAATATTCAGAGATAAGTTTAAATCATCCTGGTTCACCTAGGCAGCTGATAGCTGAAATATAATGTTCCTGACAACCTTGAAATTAATAGCTGTAAGGATATATGATTGTGTTAACAACAACAAAAACTTCTAAATTTGTATTGTTTTTCAGTTTTGTTCTTGAGCTCCGTTGGGAGGGAGGGATAAAAATTTAGATAGTGATGATTGTGTGGGAAATTGCAGCCAAACATAACTATGCATGAGTGCTTGTTAGTGCACAAAGGGTTTAAGACCACAGAGTTCTGTTTCTAGACTCAGCTAGGTCATGCCCCCTCATCTCTGTGAGGGAGGACGTGAAGCTGCTTCTCTTCCTATTCCTCATTCTCTTCCAGCCATATAACCAACCAGGATGGTCATGTCTGACCATATTTGAAACAATATGGTGTATTTTGCAACCAAGAGTAATCTACCTGTGTTCCCTTTGCTGTTGTATAGATGCATGAATTAGACCTTTGTATTTAGTAAGTAAAGCTTTTAAACTTAAGTTTTTGGGCTGTTCATTGCTAGAGGGGTAGAGAAAACGGGCAAGAATTTTAAGGCAGACTAAACAGAATTTGCAAAAGGATTTAACAACCTATATTCCTCACTATGCTGCTTGTTAACTCTGAGAGGTTTTTTTTAAAAACTTCTGCTGTGGGCTCTCTCTTCCAGAAGAGTGTGCAAAGCTCCACATTTTGAAATCTATGTGCCCAGCTGTTTCTTTTGTTAATTACCCTCACATGGGTCAGATCTATTTTTTACCTCTATAGATTAATTGATTCAATTTTTATCCCACCCTTCATCCCAAAGGAAACAATTCCAGTTCATATGCAGATTTCTACTCAAATATCTTGTTGGAGGAGAAAGGCAACATAGATGGTGCCCACCTAATATTTAAAGTGGAGGGAATTCTAACAAGTTGTTGTTGATGATGACGATCTGAACTTCTTCACTGTTTTCTATGGAGAGCTCTCACTTCTACTCTGGAAATGGGTGTGTCTGTGGGTGGTGAGGAGGCAGGTGGAATCTAAAGGAACTGGAAGTTGTCACTTCAATCTGGCAAGGGAGAGGAGATGCATGCAACAAGGTCAAAGAGCTCGCCTTTCTTTACTGTACCCTCCTCCCTGCTAAATTGCAATAAGGCACTCAAGGTCTAGGCTGTCAGCCAACCCTAATCATTAGCCAATTAATGCTATATAATAACACAGCAGGTGGGGAAGGTTAGGGGGCTTGGAAAAGCCCACAACATTTTAAGGACATGCCCCCACTTGCCTCATTCTGTACCTGAAGGGGCTCTGCCTGGTCAACTCTGGATATTCCAGCCCTGAACTCAGAGCCCCTGACCACATCGGAACAACTTTTCCCACACATATAACTGTTCATTATCCTGTGCTGTTTTATACATTGGCTCTACTCTCATTTCCCTCAGCCAAGTGCTTTTTTCCAAATAATAAGATGACTCTAATAGGATAGTAACAGACACCACAGCATTTGGAGGAAGCTTAACATGCCATTTTAGCTTTTTGATTCGAGCTCAAGCATTGGCAGACATTAGCACACAGCCAGAGTGGATGATGAGGTTAGAAATCCGGCTGAGCCATTTAATTTACTCCTTTGGCAGGCTTGCTTCTGGGGACTGATGGCCGCATTAAAAACAAAAGGCATTTGACTGCAATCACTTCAGCTGCTCTTGATTTGTAAGCCTGGCTACAGTTCCACACTGTTCTTCAGTGGGCCCATCACCTCTGTTTTAAATTCAGTATTTAAAGACGGGATTGGTTGCCAGGGAAACCACTGGCTGAGAAAAGCAGGGGAGTCTTAACCTGATGTGTCAGAGCATTGCTAGGAAAGGCGGCACACACACATCAGTAAATAAAGAAAATTGATGCCTCTGGCTTCTGCCCTCTGAAGCTATTTGCTCGGCTTAAATCCATTTTTATGATTTTCCAGAATTTATGGATTATCAGTTGCAGCCTCTGAAATGAGTACACGTTTAAAATTTTCAACATTTTGTTTCACTTTTGGAAGCAATTTAGAAATGCAGGAATGGTAACACAATTTAAGACATTTTGAGTCAAGAACAGATTACCATACAGGATGGAGTAATTTTAGATTAATATAGGGCCAAAATGGCCCTCCAGGTCTTTTTATCTAGCCCTTTGTACTCCCCCCGTTTATTGCTCCACCCACTTTTGAATTTGAGACCCCCCCCCCCCACTGGTCTGTGGCCTCAGAAAGGTTGCCCAGAAGGGAATATGATTTTTGGGCTGAAAAAGGTTCCTCACAACTGGATTAATACTTTTAGGTGGCCTTTCCATCATTCCATCCATCATGGGGGGGGGGGGTGTGTTTTTGTTTTGGTGATGGCATCAAAAATACTTGTCTATTCAAAATTAGGGGAAACTGATTTACTAGAGTCCTGGAGCCACTCTGTCTGCAACAGCACAATACACACACTGGCTGAGACGCACACAGAGGCTGTCTATTTTTATAGGAATGACCCAAGATGAGTCACAAGTCACAGTGACTTAGCAGTTTGCTTTTAACAGTTAATAGGCGTAGGCTTGAATGACTGTGTAGGCCTTGTAGGCCTTACTGCTTCTGCTCTCCCTATCCATTCCATCCTCCCAACATCCCTATGAGCTAAGTAGGCTCACCTAGCCTACAATGAGCTTCATGGCTTGGGGATTTGAACCCTGGTCTCCTGGATCTTGATCCACCATTTTAACCACTATGCCGCACTGGCTGTACTCTGCTGTCCGATTTGCTCCAGGATACCACCTTGTTTGATATACAATCTGCTGTAGACTGGCAGCACTCCTGTAACTGATCAGGAAATTTTGCATTCACTCACACTTTTCTTTGTTTGCCTGTAGAGATGTTGTCATGATGCCAGCCATGAAGTCAAATTCTGGATGTTCTTGCTGAGGTCATGCAGAGCTGGCCTGTCTTAACTTTTGATTTCAAAGGCAGCATGGTGTCTGCTGTTACATGCCAGATCTTGCTCCATGCTTTGACTGGCTATATGGAGTCATGATTTAATTTATAGGTCTCTAGGCTGTAGATCAATGGTAGAGCATCTTCACTGCATGCAGAAGGTCCCAGGTTCAATTCACGGCATGTCCAGGTAAGGCTGGGAAGACCTCCCCTTTGAAATCCATAAGAGTTGCTGCCAGTTAGTGTAGACAATACTATGCTAGATGGACTCATTATAAGAAAAGTCCCTATGTTCCTAAGCCCTATTTGCCTGGGATTCTCCATGTGACCAATTGATGAAGAATAATTAAATGGGTTGTAAGTTTTACTCACAGTGGTCCCACTGAAATCAGTGGAACTAAGTTAGTGATTTTCATTAATTTATCTGAGTTGGAGTAACGTTGGATAACTATTTTCAAAAGCAGCAACAGTGAAGACAAGCAATGGGAAGATTTACAACAGACGTATAGTCTCATGATGTGATTCTCTTTCACTCAAAAATATCACACACAAGCACCATATTTGACCCAAAATAGTAGCTGTGATTTAGGTATGTGTATCATGAGGTATCAAGAATGCAAGAAGAGCTGCTGGCTCAGGCAAAGGTGTCCCATCTAGTCCAGGATCCTGTTCTCAGTTAGCAGCCAGATGTCTATGGGAAACCTGTAAGTAGAACCTGTTGGGCAGTTTACTTTTCGATACACAGTATAGCGATCTCAGGATTTTCAAGAAATGAGATCAGCAAAACAAATAGGAAGAGATCCACAAGACTTTTATTTGGAAGAGAGCTTGGGGAGAAACTGGCGAGGAGCCCAGGACATTTCACTATGCTACAAAAAGAAAAAGCCCTGTTGATTAGACTCTTCATCTGTTTAGTGGCTGTTTTAATTGATCCTGTACCACTAAGTGCTGGAGAGGTGGTGAGTTTCTCCATATTTATTTACAAAAACCAGCAATTAGCAAGTCATGGAACAAAGTGGCAGGTGTTCTTGCAAAGGTCACGTGGAGGTGACATCTGTCATCACCTTTTCTTTGGAAGTAGACATGGTATCACACATTCCTTCTCTTGTTTCATGCCTTAATAAAACATAGCCAGCCCACTGGCTTGTTTTGTTCTAGTGGAAACCAAGCTATTGAACATGCATAAATTATTGTCTAAAAGAAAGGTGAACAGTGTCAGCTTAGGCTGTTTGTAAGAAGTTGCCTGTTGCTGGATGTCAGAATCTGTGGGCCATTGCTGCATCACTGAGGGTTATTGTTAAAAAAAGGAATGTAGGCTGTTCAAGCCAGGAGGCAGTTCAGTTGCAACTGCCCAGAATACCCCTTGTCCTGAAGAGTCCCCAAGGAACCAACCTTGTGCAATCTTGATACCATGGTTGACAAGTAAAGGACAAATGGGGGAATTTGTGGCCTTCCAGTTGTTGCTAAACTCCCAACTCCAATCATCCCAAGTTTAGCATGGCAAATGGATAGGGATGGTGTGAACTGGAGTCTAACAACATCTGAAGGGCTACAGGTTCCTCATTATCACTATGGCTGTTAACCAGAATAGACCCTCAAGGTTCAAAAATAGTATGCCACTGAATTAGATTTGCTTTGGACAACAGTAGAAGACACCTGTTTTCTTCACGCCCAGGCTGTGGACATCCTGGAATGGTCTGGAATGTGAGGAAGGGATGCTAAACTAGATGGACAGTTGATCAGATCCAGCGGTACTCTTATGTTGATTAAAAAAATTACTTCCAGTAACACCTTAGAGACCAACTATGTTTGTTATTGGTATGAGCTTTTGTGTGCATGCACACTTCTTCAGATACCAAATAAAAAAATTCCTTCCAGTAGCACCTTAGAGACCAACTAAGTTTGTTTTTGGTATGAGCTTTCATGTGCATGCACACTTATCTGAAGAAGTTTGCATGCACACGAAAGCTCATACCAATAACAAACTTAGTTGGTCTCTAAGGTGCTACTGGAAGGAATTTTTTTATTTTGTTTCGACTACAGCAGACCAACACGGCTACCTACCTGTAACTAGAACTTATGTTGATTTAGTAAGCCCAAACATGTAAAAGCAGGGCCTGTTCATCTCAATGGGAAACAGGAAATAAGATGTTCTGGAACATAAATAGGGGGTGTGAAGTGAGGGGTATGTGGGAAAGTAGCCTTTTGGTGTCCTTACCTGAAGTAGGTGGTGGTGGGTAGCTTATTACAAAATTCAGAGCTGTCTGTTAGGCAGGTCATGTTACACATCAGAAGCTTATCTCCCCCCTCCTCCTAGTCTTATGGTATTATGTGACATTTAGAATCAATGAAAATTGTTGCTCTGCACGATTATTTTTTTAAGAGGAGCAAAAGTAAAGGAAGCAAGAATATATGTATCAGGTGAAATTACCTAGATGATGGGAGATGAGAGGGAAATAGAGAGATTTGACCTTGTTCTGCACTTAGAGGTCACATTAGTAATGACAGACCATTATATCAGATCTGAGTCTCTTTTGCTGTAGAGCTGATTGTGTGCGTGTGTCGTAGGCCAACAAGCTGCAAAGAAAGGAGAAATTCTGTGAGCAAACAACACAGTGATGAATTCGAGCTGTTCCTACCAGGCACAACAATACTGTTTTCCAAAGAGCAAGATACAAAGATTTTCCTTTTCAAAGGAGTTGAACAAGGCAGCGTGAGAAAACAACAATGTGAGGCGTTTCAGATTGCCTAATTAGAAATCTGAAGGTTACGAGGAATGTTGGGGAGGCATGCTGCACAGATGAAGAACCTTTGCTTCTCTTTGTTCATTTTCACAGGCAGAAATGGAAGACACTGAATGTTTCCAAGATGCTTTCATTTCTGCTTGTTCACCTAAGCAATCAAGTGCTGCAAATTTCACAATATTGAGGAAATTTAGAGAGTTGTGGAATGAATTTTGGCTAACATGTTATCTCTCCTAAACCATTCAAACACATTCATACAGTGGAGGCTGATGTATTAGGGCAAATGAGGCTGCCACCAGCTCTCACTTACCTGCCTCCTTAACTGCAACCAGTCCAGAGGGTGGCACTGCTTTTCAGCTTCCTTCTTCTGAGTCTTGCCAGCCTGTGCTCAGGTTGGGTAATTGTGTAAATATAACCATATATGCTGAAGACACCACAGTCTCTATTGCCCTTCATTCCCAGGAAACTGGACGCCAAATAAGCGTGGGCACCCCGAGAGTTTCTCTCTACTCAGAGATTGGGCTGGTATGTAACAATATGGTTATTGTTTATTTTATGGTAGAGATTCCTGCATTGCAGGGAGTGGACTAGATAATGCCCAGAGGCCCATTGCTATAATTCTATGATTCTAAGAACACGGAGTGGGGTGTATCTGGTGTTAGGAGAGGGGTAGTTATGAGTTACTGGCCTCTGCTGCCCCAGCAGGTGCTATGCTTCTCCAGCCTTGGAGGTGCACTTCATTATTTCTTGACACAGACAGATGCCAACACGAACATGGAGACAATGGGAAGAAAGGCTTCCACAGCACCATGGATAGCTCTGTGTTAAGGATTCATATTGGAGGCTTCCTAGGTAAAAGGTAAAGGGACCCCTGACCGTTAGGTCCAGTCGCGGATGACTCTGGGGTTGCGGCGCTCATCTCGCCGGCGGAGGGAGCCGGCGTACAGCTTCCAGGTCATGTGGCCAGCATGACTAAGCCACTTCTGGCGAACCAGAGCAGTGCATGGAAAAAGCCGTCTACCTTCCTGCCAGAGTGGTACCTATTTATCTACTTGCACTTTGAACGTGCTTTGAACTCTTAGGTTGGCAGGAGCAGGGACCGAGCAATGGGAGCTCAACCCATCACAGGGGTTCGAACTGCTGACCTTCTGATTGGCAAGCCCTAGGCTCTGTGGTTTAGACCACAGCATCACCCGCATCCCAGAGGCTTCCTAGAGCAGAGCTCAAATGTTGTTTCAGCAGCAGTCATTCTCAGACTGAATCTTAAATAGGAATAGCAGCCCTGAAGCTTTCTAATGCAGAAAAACTGGAAATATCAATCTAAAACAAGCAATTGTATGAATTTTGTTACTTTTTATTAGGTGTTATTTTTGTGGTTGTGTTTTTCGTTGTTGTGTTTTCAAATGTAACCTGTCCTTGGCCTTAAGGTGAAGTGCGGGTAATAAATAATAATAATGGTTATTAACATTATTAATTAAAATGTATTAGGGCTATTATTAATAATATTAGCCAAAGTGATTACAAATTATTAATGGCCAGTTGCGGGTTAGTCATTGGCTAATTGATGGATTAAGCCTCCCCATGCCAGGATTTTGTTTCATTGCTAATTGTGCTGACTTATTATTTAAAAAGTGTTATTCTTGCAGATAATTTATGAACTACCTGCCAAACCACTGTCTCAAGGCATTTTATGCATATAATAAATAAAAAAACAATTCAAAGCAAAAACTGCATTTAAAACAAGACTGGATGGTTATTAAATAACTATGGTGTGGTGTGTTATGGAGAGGTAAGAGAGGGAAAACATCATCACCACCACCATAGTAAAGGTAACGGGACCCCTGACCATTTGGTCCAGTTGTGACCGACTCTGGGGTTGCGGCGCTCATCTCGCTTTATTGGCCGAGGGAGCCAGCGTACAGCTTCCGGGTCATGTGGCCAGCATGACTAAGCCGCTTCTGGCGAATCAGAGCAGCACAAGGAAATGCCGTTTACCTTCCCGCCAGAGCGGTACCTATTTATCTACTTGCACTTTGACACGCTTTTGAACTGCTAGGTTGGCAGGAGCAGGGACTGAGCAACGGGAGCTCACCCCGTTGCAGGGATTCAAACCGCCGACCTTCTGATCGGCAAGTCCTAGGCTCTGCAGTTTAACCCACAGTGCCACCTGCATCCCCCGACCATCACCATAGAACCCCACTATTCCCCAATTCTGGTTTACTGCTGACAATACTAGCGAGTATATTACTTATTATTAATTGCTCATGATAATGATGATGAGGTCATGTGTTATGAGAAGGTGAGAGGTATAATTAGAATCCTGATAGCCTGCGTTGTACCCATTGCTACTTATGCTTAGAGTAAACCCATTAGAAGTGAGGTGGGCTATTGGGTTGTTTTTATTATATTATGTATTTTGCATTCTCATTTTGCATTTTTCTGTTATTAACCACCCTGGGTTCTTCAGATGTGGCACAGTATACAAATGTAATAAATAAAACAGATAAAATAAAATCTCAGTAGCCAGCTTCAGTGAAATGAACCTCTCCATTTAAAGGGGCCCAGTCTGCTGCAGAAGTTGTTGATGCCAGTGGAGCAGGGACACTTTGGTTCCAGCAGGGCTTCTGAGTTGGTTTCTTCAGAGTAAGAGGTGGGTAATGCAATGTCCTTTGGGCTTTTGAGGTACTTTCACAACCAGTTCCTCTTGTACAAGTGCTTCTGGTTTATCTGGTACATCTGGAGTTGGTTGTGGAGGCGATTCCATCTCTCTCTCTGAATCTGCAGCTGCATCCTCTGAAGAAGAGGTTGTACAGTATTCTTCAACTCCAAGCCTTGTCACATATTCTGTTCACAAACGTTTCCATAACATTGCCTGCTATGCACTGTTGTTACCTCCTCTGCCCATTCTTTTGTATCATCTCATCCATTCTTGATTCCTTCAGTTATTCCTCAGAGGCCTTGTTTCCCATCCATTTGTCTTCCTTTAAGAACTCTTGGTTCTCAACCACAATGCTCTCTTCAATCTATCTTCTTCTCAGTGTAAATACCTGGGGAGCAAAACTTGAAAACAACTTTCCTGCTGTGAATTGACATTGAGTTATATGGTGTGGATGGTGGTTATATCAGGGAACACAAGAAGCAGTTCTGTGAACAGGGCCCAAGCTCATTGCTTTTCAATGAAAACTTTCTGACCCCTATATTCTGCTGTCCACAGTGGTGTACTTCAGAATCCTTTGACCAATGTATAAATGAATGATTTAGCTACTGTTGACATAGCAGTCATGGCAGTCTGTGTTTTCTGAGTACATTAAGAATGATTATGTCATTGAATTGATTAATCACAATTTAACTTAGTTTTGCAGTAATTCAAGTTCTGGTTGATTTTCCCCAGTTTGACACCTGCTGGTCTGGGAGCCTGAATTTCCACCTCATGCTTATGTGTAGGAGTAGGATATTATATTTTTGAAAGGCAGGGAGAGATGGAAGGAGAAGTCCATTTTAAATATACACGGAATTTGACAATTTTGACCCAATCAAGATTTGCCTGCCATGGTCTGCCTGTTGCATCAGGTGAGTGCTTATGTCTGAATTGCTCATGCACTGTCAATTAAAAACCAGAAACAACCTCCTGACTAATTACAGGCAAAAGTATATGTAAAAAAAAATACTTATAAGCACTATTTTCTGTATCCGTTTATGTGCCGTTTATGTTAGGAAACATGAGGTGCATATGCCTTTAAGTAAGTTATTATGTGTATAATAATGCAGATAATACGTAAGAATTGTTCATATTTTTAGGAATGAGGAACTGGTCCTCATTTTTCATTGAGATGGGAATCTATGTAGTTCAACTCAACTTTAAGAGTTTTTAGAAAATCCCATCACTAAAAGCAGAGATGGAGAATTTGTGGCCTTCTGTATCTTGTTGGAGGCCGTCAGCCTCAGCAGGGATTACGGGAGATGGTACGAAACATCCGAAGGGCCACAGGTTTCACATCCTTGGTGAAAAAGGAGGAGGGAGTCTTAAGAAGATCTTTTTAAAGATGTGTTGAAATTTTCCTGTTTATGTTTTGAATTAATTTAAACAGGTCTTTGCTATGTCAACATGAGAATGCTTGTGGGATGCTCTCCCCAGGGAGGATCGCCTGGTGCCTTTGTGACACTGGGCAAAAACATTCTTCTCCTCCCTGGCCTTTGGCTAATTAAACCATCTATGGCCTTTTAAACTGGTGTGTGTGTGTGTGTTGTTTTGGTTTGCTATTATTTTATGTATTGTTGTGTTTTTATATTGTGAACCACCCTCTGATCCTTGGATGAAGTGCAGTATTGAATTTTAAAAACAAACAAACAAACAAACAAACAAACAAACAAACAATTTATAACCCACCCTTCATTTGTGTAGTTACCAGGGTAAAGGTAAAGGGACCCTTGACCATTCGGTCCAGTTGTGGATGACTCTGGGGTTGTGGCGCTCATCTCGCTTTACTGGACGAGGGAGCCGGTGTACAGCTTCCGGGTCATGTGGCCAGCACGACTAAGCCGCTTCTGGAGAAACCAGAGCAGCACACAGAAGCGCCGTTTACCTTCCCGCCGGAGCGGTACCTATTTATCTACTTGCAGTAGACGTGCTTTCAAACTGCTAGGTTGGCAGGAGCAGGGACCGAGCAACGGGAGCTCACCCCATCGCAGGGATTCGAACCGCTGACCTCATGATCAGCAAGTCCTAGGCTCTGTGGTTTAGGCCACAGCGCCACCCGCGTCCACCAGGGTAAGGTACAACACATTAAATGAACAAATGTAAAATAGCCAACCATAGAACAGAATTCATAAAAAAAAAAGATAGGTAGGCAGCTAAAGTTGGAAATACTTAGACTTAATCACTGAAGAATTAGTGGGTTGCATTACCATAGGATACATGGAAAAAAAACATTCAGGAGATACTGAGCAACAGTAGCATGGAATCTGAAATTTGGTGGAATATGGACAGCTAGTCCTTCTAGTTTAGCATTCACAACACTGACTGACAGTTGTTCTCTGTGGGGAGATATTCCCAGCTCTACTTGCAGATGCTGGGAATTCAGCTGGGGACCTGCTGTACACAAAGCAGATGCTGTGCAACTGAGCCATGGCCCAACACATCTAATAAGATCATAGAAAGTTGGCTTTTACTGAGTCAGAACATTGTCCCATCTGGCTTAGTATTGCCCGCACTACCAGCGGTCTCCAGGGTTTCAGGCAGGTGTCTCTCTCAGCCCCACCTGAAGTTGCCAGTGACTGAACCTAGGACCCAGAAGGGAAGGGATTTCCCATGTTCTCTCCCTAGATTGTGTTCTTGAGTACATCTTATGGGACTATAATCATAAACCATGAAATTGCAGGTATCTGATAAGCACTGTGCATATCCTTTCTTCCCCTAGAGTTCTAGAATGTTAGAGGTTTTTAAAGATGTATAATAGGGTAAAATCTGAAATGGATCTCTTGAAGCATATCTATTAGAGCACTTAGTTTAATGCAATTTGAATCCCAGAGGAAATTTCAGTATTTCAAAACAGACTGAAAACTTGACACAGTGAATGCTCAAGCAACATTTTAGTTGCTGGTGGTTCAGGGCAGGATGAATGTGGATTTTATTCAAAATAATTATGTCGAAACAAAGTGTTTTAATAATAAAATCAAGGTTGATTTGAGGATGGATTTTCTTTTGGGTAGAAGACTTGTTTCAATTTGCTTAATACTCCTTCCAAGTTAGATTCTGCATGGAACTCTCTCAATGAAATCAAATCAACCAATTTGCTGTTAGGGATTTAAGAATTTGGGATTATTCCACCTCATGATTTTCTTGCATATGGCTGGGGGGGGGGGGAATCACAAATATGGATTTGTACACAGTTCCTTGCCATCATAACTTTTACCCCCTTTGGGTAGCTAGAAGAGCTTAGAAGGTTACCAGCTGGTAAGATAATTACAAGTTATGAGTTACCCACAGGGTATTAACCTGAGGGCTAAAAGTGAACCCATGAACAGATGTGCAACCACTTTAGTAATTAATGTCTTACATAGGTAGCAACACATAATCTCTTTCCAACCCTCTTGGTCCCATATCATGCCATTATGACTACTGTTCATGGAATGAAATCTGTAATCAGAAAGCAGGAAAACCTTTTCTTTAAGGGATGCTTGTTCACCATTATGATCTTCACATTGAGCAACCCTGATAAGCATCTGAGTTTCCTCAGGGATCCTAGAAACACACTTTGAAAACTCTATTTTGACTAAGCAGCTCGCACTGTTGGCTCAAGGCTTTCTTTAATCAAACAGGGCCCCCAGTGGATTTAGGACATACCATTGCTATTTCCTTAATCCTGTTGACAGGCATCCCTTGTAAGGAAACATCTCCACATTATACAGTCTACCTCTACAAGGCTAGGTACACATTTCACAAGATCGAGATGAGCAGGCTGAAAAATATTTCAAGCAGCCTCCAGGTACAACTGCTCATTTAAAGTCCTGCTGTGGAATTGTGGGTCTATTTCCTTGTTACTTCGTTGCATGGCTACTAGAGGTATTTAATGTGACCCATGTATGCAAAAAATGAAAGTGTGGGTGGTGTACTCCCAATGTAATCTTCAGCTTCGCTCATATTGAAGGGAGGGTGTTAAATGAAACTGAACTATTGGCAAGTGGGTTTCATTAAAAGCCATCAGAGATGCAAATTATTATTTTGCAGAAGGAGAGCACTAATCATTTTCTAATCTATCTACAGAGTTGAGCTTGTAACCTGGAGTTTGTCATCAACTGCCAAGAGAATAAAAGTTTGCATATTGACGGACAAGCTGCTTCTGTGGGTTAGTCTCTTTGCCACTAGCCAGCTTGCAATACAAGTCCAGTTCCTTCTGCCCTTCCATCTGGGGGGAGGGGAGAGCCTAGAGTATTTTGAGAAGACATTTTAAAATCTATCTTTGAAAGAACTGGATCACAGCTGCCTTGAGGAACAGTTCTACCCTTACAACATGTGTTTCCTTGAAGTTTCCAGCCTTTTCCACCCCACACTGGGTATCTTCTCTATGTTGCTTCCATCTATTACTATCACAAAGCCCCTCAGTTCACCTACAGCTCCTCGTGCCCCTGCCTTTGGATGAAGTGTCTGGAAACTAGACTGTATCACTTGGCCCAATCAAGGTACCCTTCACACATGGGAGACCTGCACATGTGTACATCAATATATGCACGGAGCCCTTTCCATGCTTACTGGTCATCAAGATGGCAGGGAAGCATTTCCACTATGAATGGTTGATCATGGTCAATGTGGTCATGGAACACAACTGTGGCAATAGGTGGTGAGCAGGGATGTAAGCAGGCATTGGTCACATGCAGCACTGTTTCTCTTCCTCTACATTATTTATCACACTGTCCATTGTTGTGAAATTGTGTAACTTACATAAGTTTTGTAATTGAACACATTAATTACCTGTTGTCATGTCCTTCTGCTTTTCCACCCCATTCATCTCAGTGCAAAAGAAACACAATACGAATATGGGGAAAATGTAATAAATTATGTGTCATTTAAAAACTGAAAGCAACAACAACAGCAAATACCAGTCATTTTTGCTAGATTGATTCCCATTCTGGACATGGGAAGAATAAGCAAGCACTGGGAAGTTCCAATCCCATTTCTGCTTTAATTGGACTTCTTGAAATCCCTAGAGGTGTTTTTCAATGCAAGCGTATGTGTGAACCACCCCAGAGTGTACCACTCACCCCTAGCATGCTGCACTTAAATTGCCACCAACATTGGTTGAAAAGCAAGGGAGAAATATAATAGGTTAGTGATTATACACACACACACATCAGATTGCAAGAGTTGATCAGGCAGAGGGACTTCTCAGTAGTGGAACCCACCTTGTGGAATGCCCTCCCACCAGATGTCAAGGAAATAAACAACTACCTGACTTTTAGAAGACACTTGAAGGCAGCCCTGTTTAGGGAAGTTTTTAATGCTTGATGTTTTATCATGTTTTTGGTATTCTGTTGGGAGCCGCCTAGAATGGCTGGGGAAACCCAGACAGATGGGCGGGGTATAAATAATAAATTATCATTATAAATTATGATTCATTAACAAAAACCCTTCAGAACATCTTGTAAGAGTGTGAAGAAGTACTTCATTTTGTCTGTCTTGAAACCTCCAGCATCCAGCTTCATCAATCCAAAGGGAGAGATGCCAGTCTAAAACTGAGAGTCGGTTTGGGTAGGGGGAGAGAATTGAACCGGGAAACTCAGGCTCAAATCTCAAGTCAACCAAGAAGTCCACTTTGTGACATTTGGCATTGCATTAGAAGAGCACTGCTGGATCAGGACAAGGATCCACCTAGTTAAGCATCCTGTTTTCACAATGGCCAGGAGAACCTGAATGCAACAGCTCCCTTCCACCTGCAATTTGCAGCAACTGGTATTTAGAGGCATATTGCCTCTGAAAGTGGAGGTGGAGTATTGCCATTATGGCTAGTAACCACAGATAGCCTTATCTTCCATATATTTGTCCAATCCACCTTGTGGATTGAAATAAATAAATAAATAAACAATCCTGTTTTAAAACCACCCATGTTGGTGGCCATCACTTCAGGCAGACACTTAGGGTTGGGGAAGGAAGAGAGAAAAAGAAGAGAAAAATTAGGATGCAAGAAACACAGCTATATCCTCTTTTATTATTTGTAGTAGTTTCCTCGGCTTCAGTACTTATGATCAACCAGAACTTTATAATCAAGGCATTAGATGCGTGCCATGCACCTCTAACAAATTTTAGCAATTTCGGCTCTCTGAGCTCTGATGCATAAAGAGCTGTGCTTAAGCACCCTTCTGTTCAGGCAAATAAACAGTAAAATGGAAAAGAATGTGGATTTCCTCACATTAAAGAAAGAAAACACAGCAAAGGGAATTACATATCTTTGGCTCTTCTGTGTGAATATCTGCTGTGAGGCTACTGAAGCACAGCATCCTAGGAGAGAGCTCCCCAAATTTCTGGCTTAAGGCATGCCCCTCTCTTACAGTACATGCAAAAATGTTTACTTTTAGTGCATGTAGAAAGGACAACCTGCCCTTAGGCAGAACACACCGTCTGGATTTGTGCATGAGGGCTTATCCACACTCCTGTTTGCCCTGCCTCTTTTCCCTTGGAAAAATCTGCAGTTTAGTGTTGAATCAGAGAAAACAGCAAGTGGGTGTTGCTTTGCTGTGATTTGTTGCTCAAGAGTGGGTTTTCAAGGGGACCCATGCCTAGAAAAAATTGGGACAAGTGGAAAACTGTTTGGACCTCTGCTTTCTAGGCATGAAACAAGCAGAAGCGTAGCTGAGCCCTGAGCCTTTGACCTAAGTAGGGGTGGGTGAATCTGTAAATTTCCATTTCTTGTTTTCCATTTCTTCCAGTCTTAACTGTTTCAGTTTGTGAATTTATTTTTAAAAGTCCTCATGAAAATTTGCCAGCAATTTAATGCAAATATCACCTTTTTGCAAGCAGTTACCTGGAAAAGAATGCATTTTTCATTAATGTGTGCATTTTTAATCCACACTTACTTCAAATACACACATATTCATCACATCATTTGGTTGTAGAACTACGAAACAAAATTAGGAGAAGTGTGAATTTTGAAGGACAACTCTGTGTTTGCATATTTTTTCAAAACCCACAAATTAGGCAGGTTTGTATTAAAATCCAAATTGAGCTGGATTTCTCCACCATCCCTAGTACAGTGGTACCTCTGGTTACGAACTTAATTCGTTCTGGAGGGCCGTTCTTAACCTGAAACTGTTCTTAACCTGAGGTACCACTTTAGCTAATGGGGCATCTTGCTGCCGCTGTGCAATTTCTGTTCTCATCCTGAGGTAAAGTTCTTAACCCGAGATAGTACTTCTGGGTTAGCGGAGTCTGTAACCCGAGGTGTTTGTAACCCAAGGTACCACTGTACCAGATTTGCTTCCTACAGCAAGGTAATTCTCACACAGAAATTTGGTAAATATTGGTAACTCTTGGGTGGGTAATGGTCAGCAGCAGAACACATGCTTTTCATGGAGAAGACCCTCTGGTCAATCTGTGGCATATCCAAGTGGAGCCACTGCCAGTCACTGATGGCTAATCTGGTGTCCTCCAGATGTAGTTGGCTTCTAACTCCCTAACCATTGGCTGGAGCTGATGGGGATTGGAATTCAACAGCGTCTGAAGGGAACCCTATTTTGCTATGCCTTATGTAGACAGCACTGAGCTAGATGGGTCTGATATAAAGCTGCTCCATTTGACTTCTGAGAAGCAACAAATGTAAAAAAGACGCACTCAAAATGAGACATGGACCATTTCAAAGGATGCCAGATGTCCAAACTTGATCCAATAATGTTTATGTAGAAAGTAAGTCCCATTGACCTCTTAGTGATTTGCATGGTGGCTAAATGAAAATTCAAAGGAAGGAAGCTCCCAAGTACCAGATGGTGTGGTCCTTGTTGGATATTTATGACCTTAACTTTTGAGTATGTTGTGGAGGGCCCTTGGGCTCCACAGGCCCCTTCCTTCAGTTACTCTGCCTCCTCATGGCCATTGTCACCAGTAGCTCCTGATCACCCCCTCTGCATTGCTACCAGATGTTTGCTTGCCAGGCAGAAAGCCAATGACCAAGCAGCTGGTTTAATTCACTTCTCCGCCTCACAATCTGTTGTTGGGTTAGATGCCTGACCACGCTGGCTTTTGGTGCCAGCCCCAATTATCTTTGTGCCCTGTAGTGATCTCCCAGAGTAATCTGGTTGGCCAGAAACAGCTTGAGATGGACTTTGTTGTGCTCTTCAATGCAGCATGAAAAGACCCAACTGGAGTGTAATACAAGCTGAGGTTCTCAAGGCAAGATGGGACAAGCTTCAGATACTAGGCAAGGCTGAGGGAAGAGTTCTGAAGCTACTTCAGCAAGGAACAAGCTGAAACTGAGTCCTGAGCAGCAGGTGCAGCCTCATAGTTAGTCCACCTCTGCTGCAAGATGCTATTCTACTTAATGAAAGTCTCAGCTTTCTACAGGTGGCTCCTATTACAAGGGAGTAGGGAAACCTTAGGTCTTCCTGGATCTTCTGCAGTGGAGTCCCCTCAGTCAGCAAGAATGGCAATGCCACATCCCTAGGCTAGAGGAGCACTGGCCCAGCAAGTTCTTCTTCATCATCATCATCATCATCATCATCATCATCATCAATTAAATTTATATACTGCCCTATACCCACAGGTCTCAGGGCAGTTCACAGGATATCAGGGTGGTTCACAGGATAGAGCACTTCTGAGAGCACTTCTGTGACTGCCCTGTCTGCCCTTCCTCTTCTGTTTTGGATTCATCACCTCATCCCCAAAGCTAAGGAACCTCATGACACACCCTTGGTTTCATCTAGCATAAGGTAGTTCTAATTGTTAGAAGTTCAGATTGTGTTACTTGTGTTACTTAGGCCGAAAGCTTCAAAAATAGCAAGGCTGAGCCAAATGCCTTTTAAGAACTTTGGATGGTAGTTCTCCAGAAACTGTCCAGCATCTTCACCTTTTCTGTTGCCACCACTGTCTGTTTCATCAGCACATATCTCTCACCATGAAGCCAATCAGTCAATGAAATGCTTCCTGTTTAAGGACTCCAGGTAAGTGGGGGGGGGGGGGCGGTTCAGGCACCTGCTTCTTGAACTCCTGTGAGTGTAATTGTAATCAGCAGATTCCTCTTCTTTCCAGTTCTACAGCCCTTCAAATCACCAATATGTCTAGCATGTGAAAAGGCTGGCAAAGCTGGTGGAAGTATTTCAGCGCAGCCCTTGGAGATAATGAAACCTGCCACTCTCAATCTCACAACCTAGGAGGTAAATGGCCCCTAGGCTGTAGTTATAGTAGGACTAGACGTGATGAAAATAATGAAGTGTGTTACCAAAAAATAGCAATCACCATTCAAAGATCCCCCTACTCTTTCTTATAAATGGAGTACCTTCCCTAGTTTGAAACTTCCAGGTTGACAAGATGACTAACTGATGGTTGTATTTTGGATGCCCCACCAGAATACACCATAAAACGGTTCACAGGTAGAGCCTTCATGCACTGATTGTGGAACACTCTTATCACTCTTTATGCCTGGCACTAATAATGCATTATTAGTGCCAGATGGCTAAACATTTTTTCTGCCTGAGAGCCACATTCGTCCCTGGCCACCTCTATAGGGAGCCATAGGTCAGTGGTGGGTGTGGCCCAAAGTGGGTGCAACTACCCCATCCTCTTGCATTCATACTCTCACATTAACTCATAATGATCAGCTAAGGGCTGGGGGTTATTATTCCACCCCACTCATCAGCTGCTTGATGTGCTGACCTGAAAGGGAGGCTGTGGACAGCAAAATATGGATGGAACTATACATCTAAATTATTTCAGTTACTTACCTTCCAATCTTAAATTCAGTCCTACACCATTCTGCAGTAATTTGTGATTTATTTATTTTTTTAAAGAGTGTCCTCATGAAAATCTGTCAGCACCTTAGTGTGAATTTCTTCTAATAAACCCATTTTTATAAGCAGTTTTGACTAATCTGCACATTTCGGAAAGCATTTTGTGCTAGTATAATTCATTTCTAAATGCTATTTATGGACCTTTTCTGCACACACTCTCCTAAAACACACATTTTTGTAAACATTGCTGCCAAAACCAGAGGGGCTTTTTTTTAGGGCAGAAAAAATGGCTTTGGGAGCTAGATCAGGCACAGGATTTAAGCTACCCTCTTCTCTCAGGTCATGTTAAATAATATTGATAAGTTTCATTTTAATGGATGGTTCCCTCTTTTTTTTTAATTTGGTCAGGTTTTAAGGCTACAAAGTTTTTAGTTAGCTCCTGTGGCATTTTATCTTGAGTTTGTAAATTGAGCCATTAGCTGCTTTCAAGGTCTAATGTGGTGGAAATGCAGGAGAGACATTAAAGGTAAAGGTAAAGGACCCCTGACAGTTAAGTCCAGTTGGGAACGACTGGGGTTGCAGCGCTCATCTCACTTTACTGGCGGAAGGAGCCGACGTTTGTCTGCAGAAAGTTTTTCCAGGTCATGTGGCCAGCATGACTAAGCTGCTTCTGACGAACCAGAGCAGCGCACGGAAATGCCGTTTACCTTCCCACTGGAGCGGTACCTATTTATCTACTTGCACTTTGACGTGCTTTCGAACTGCAAGGTTAGCAGGAGCAGGGACTGAACATCGGGAGCTCACCCCGTCGTGGGGAACTGCCGACCTTCTGATCAGCAAGCCCTAGGCTCAGTGGTTTAGACTCCAGCGCCACCCGCGTGCCTAGGATAGACATTACTTTAAAATAAATTGAGAAAGAAAAAGCATGCATCAGTTAAATGCATATGACAACACTATCATTGCACATTGCACTGGACCTAACCTGTCACTGACATCCATATGGAACATCATAAGGGAAAGGACTGTAGCTCAGTGGTTAGAGAATCAGCATTGCATGCAGAAGGATGCAGGCTCAATACCTGACATCTCCAGGTAGTGCTAAGAAGGACTACTGCCTAAAACCCTGAAGATCTGCTGCCACCCATAAAGACAGTAGTGAGATGGATGGACCAATGATCTGAATCCATATAAAGCAACTTTCTTTGTTCCTAAAGAAAGCGTATGGGCTGCAGCTCAGAGGTAGAGCACCTGATTTGTATCCCGAAGGTCCCATATTCAAACCTTGGCATCTCAAGATATTCAAGGGTCTGCAAACCAAACCTTATGAGGAACAGTTGAAGGAGCTGGGTATGTTTAGCTTGGAAAAGAGGAGACTGAGAGGAGATATGACTGCCATCTTCAAATATCTCAAGGGCTGTCACATGGAAGATACAGCAAGCTTGTTTTCTCCTGCTTTGGTGGATAGGACTCAAACCAATGGATTCAAGCTCCAAGAAAAGAGATTCTGACTAAACACCAGGAAGAACTTTTTGACAGTAAGAGCTGTTCGGCAGAGGAATGTCTCCCTTGGGATGTTGTGGACTCTCCTTCTTTGAAGTTTTTCAAGCAGAGGTTGGATGGCCAGCTATCACTGATACTTTAGTTTAGATTCCTGCATTGCAGGGGGTTGGAGTAGATGGCTCTTGGGGTAGCTTCCAACTCTATGATTCCATGATTCCAGGTAGGGCTGGAAGAGACCTGGAAAGCCAGTAAGTGAGAAAAATATTGTCCTAAATGGACTAATGGTCTGACTCAGAATAAGGCTGCTCCCCTGTTCTACATTGTGTGTTGGAAGGGAGCATTCAGCTAGCCAAGAACCGCCGTTCAACATGGGCACATTGTACCTCAAGTGGGTCCCAACCCACACCTCAATTCTGCTTGCTACTCACACAGCATACCACCACTGGCTGCCAAGGTCGTTACAATGGCAACACCTGCTGTGAAAGCAGAAGCAATCTCTCCAAATCTACAGAGACGGTCAAAAGTCTAAACTGAGAGGGCCTGATGAAACAGAAAATATTCCGGCAGTTTATGTGGCAAGGAAGGATTTTGTCTGTTTCTAGTCTTTCCCAATATTCAATATCCAGAGGTCACTTGCTCATCTCAAACACATATGGTGCATATGAAATCCTCCTAGTCGTACATATTTAACTGTAGATTTTTCAATCCATTTGTTGCCTGAAAATCTACTGGAAATTATAGACATTCCCATTTACCCATCTATATAAGGACAACAGTTCTAGAACAAATTCTGAATTCCCACAAGGTTTGAAAGATCATCTACTCCCAGAATAAGGGAGGAGTAGAAAGGTAGGGGAGGGCAATACTTCAAAGATTTATCATGCTCTCTTAAAGTTAGCAAAAAATTCTAGGTTTTTTCTGTTTTTCTCTCCCCCACTCCTTTTGGCATGAGAAATATTGCTTTTTGACAAGTTATTGCTAAAACACACCTCCACATGGCAAAGAAATAAAAAATAATCACGTAATTGAACATAAGAATACTACTTGAGAGGGGAGTAAATGATCCTTAAGGAGGCTGTTTTTGATCAGATGGAGTGGAATCTCTAGACACCAGAGCGCTAAAAGAAGAAAAGGATATAATTTTCAGGAGCTTTTCCAGCAGTAATTGGTACATTCTGTGACTGTAAAGTAGCTCTTAGGTAGATTAACTTTGTAATCCTTTTCTCCAAAGTACAAACACACAGAGAATGTACTGTGAGTTGATGCTGCCAGAGCCATAGAAGCATCAGAATTTGACTGTATGATCTGAACCTCAATTAAAAACTGGAAGCCTTTTTTAAAAAAACAAAAAAACAAAAGTATATCTTCCCCCTCTCTCTTAGCTGCATTCAAGCATTTCCCCAATATTTCTCTGTTAATTTCCACATATTTGAGGTTTCGTATTACATAAAAGCCGCCACTGCTGCTGCTGCTGCTGCTGCTGCTGCTGCTGCTGCTGCTGCTGCTTCTTCTTCTTCTTCTTCTTCTTCTTCTTCTTCTTCTTCTTCTTCTTCTTCTTCTTTTCCGGCTGAAGAGTGGGGGTGCACCTCAATCCCTTCATATCCTGGCTGAATTGCAGGTAGGAAAGTGCACACAACCAGGGCTGGATTTAGGTTTGATGAGGCCCTAAGCTACTTAAGGTAATGAGGCCCTTTATCTGTCCGGCTGTCCTTTGTCAACAACAAATTGTCACTGTTTTTTGTGTTGAATATATGCTATATGGTAATTTATGAACCTAATAGGTATCTAAAGCTATTTGCACATAACAAATAGGAGCCTATACAACACAAAACACTGTTGCTGTATGTTGGTTTTATTTTATTTGTTTTTTATCTTACATTTTGGAAAGGTACATCCAGGTTTTTTTTCCTTTAATTTTTTTGGGGGCCCCCCGAGAGAGTGGGGCCCTAAGCCATAGCTTGTTTAGCTTATACAGTGGTACCTCGGGTTAAGAACTTAATTTGTTCCGGAGATCCATTCTTAATCTGAAACTGTGCTTAACCTGAAGCACCACTTTAGCTAATGGGGCCTCCTGCTGCCACTGCGCCGCCACCGCACAATTTCTGTTCTCATCCTGAAGCAAAGTTCTTAACCCGAGGTACTATTTCTGGGTTAGTGGAGTCTGTAACCTGAAGCATCTGTAACCTGAAGTGTCTGTAACCTGAGGTACCACTGTACGTAAATCCGGCACTGCATGCAACCCAGCCCTGGACCACAGCAGCATCAGCTGCAATAAAGAAGCTCTGGACATTGTGTAATAGTAGTAACAAGCCTCACACAACCAGAATGCTTGAGTCTAATTAATGTCTGAAGCAAGAGTTTCTCTATACCAATAGTTTAGGAACTTTTACCATTTTGTAACCAAGCAACCATTTACTGGCTTGTGCTTCTTCTTCTGGAGGAGTGGATCCAAGATGGCGACGTGAGCGGCAGCCTTGTCTTATGCTCGGTAAAGCTATATTTTTATTATCTGCTTTGACGGGTTCTAAGGGCTCTAAGAATGCCTTAAGGCGTTTATTTTAGAAGTTTTATGGTTTAGATTATTTCTACTTCTCCCATAAATCTGCAAGAAAACACGGCAGATAAAGACTGTTAAAGGGAGTAGGGCTCATTAACAGCACAACCTGCCCTGACCCTACTATTTTGAGAAATTTTCTCCCTATTTTCTTGCCGACATGAGAGGGAAGAAACGCCGCAGGCAGCATTCCAATGAAGCTACGAGCACTGCCAAAAACAGACAAATATCAGGGATTTCTTGCCTGACAATGACCTAAATGAGATCTGTAGAAACTTCCCCACAGCAAACAGCCATGAGGTCCTTGCTCCCAGTACTACTCATGAGGAGCCTGCCGGCATTGTGGATGGCCCACAACTAGCCTCGAGCCTGTGTATGAAGGAACAGATGGAACAGACTCTTGAGTCCCTGCAAAAAACTTCACCTGAATTATCCCAGTCACCAGCCCAGTTAAACAAGGACCGAGAGGCACTGGAACTGCTAATCTGCCAGACTGAGTTGATAACACATACCATCACCAACTTATATAAAAGGCTGGATGGGATCGAAAAGAAGCTTGAAAAAGCCTTCGGCTTGTTCAGTTGCCCCTCCTCACTTCTTCAGCTTAACAACATTGCAAACTCCGCTCACCCCTGCCCAAGTGCGCAGGCCAACCTTGCACAAAAACAAGTGAGATGCCTGCCCAACCAAGTACAAAACTCAAGTCTGCAACTCCAGAACAGCAAACTTGCAGTACTGGTGGGAAACCACCCCTTGAATTATAACAAATGGGCGGATAAACATTCGGTCACAAATTCCCTGACCCAACTGCTGGGGCAGACATTACGCCCGTAGATATCGTGGACATCTCATGGCTGCCTTCTGGACCTTATATGAGACGTATGGTTATTAACTTTAGATCTGCCCATTTCGTTGCAAAGATTCTAAAATTAAGAAACCGCACAAGAAAATGGTACATCTATTTTACAAGGGTATTCACCAATCTGACCCGTACACCGCTATGCACCAGGATAGGTGCTGTCGGTGTTGATGCTGGGCCTGTGCGCCATAAAGAACAAATAGACGGGGAATGGAGCCGGGATCTATTACCCCACAGGGAGTGGCAAGCCTGCCCGCAAATGACTTAATTGATTTCCTACATCCCCGCTTGGTACCCTGGTCTCTACGTGCAACGAGCCTGGCATTGGACTACCCAAGCAAGACCAGTCTGAAATGCTCTCGTCCTCATATGCCTCGATGCCGGAATTGGAGGCTTCCATTATTCTAAGCCCAATACGCAATCAAGATCCACAGCTTTTGTCAAATTTTGACCCGCTAGCAGTACCGACGCAAGATGCAGTTGTCGACCTGCTACCTATACAGCCTATACGGGTCGGCAAAATCCTTGCTCTGCGAAAACCAGCTGAACATCATGATACATCAGCTGAACAACATGATATTTGTAACGGTGTCATCGAAGATCCTCTGGGCCAAATCAACCTATTGGCCCCCCAGTTAAAGCTATCACACCTATCTAGGGACCAGCGACCTCAAACCCGGAACCACCAAGCAGGGCAGATAGAGGAGGAGCCCAGCTCAGGAGCCTCAAACCATCGGAAAAGAGATTGACTGCCACTATTTCCACCATCACTCCTATTTCCACATTCTATCCTGGAATGTGGCGGGATGGCTATCTAAGCAGGGTGACGTCGACCTTCTGGATTTCCTTACAAAATTTCAGATTTTATGTCTACAGGAGACATGGTGTCTAGATCTCCATGTCCCCTCTTTACAGGGATACGAAGCCTTTGCTACCCCTGCGATAAAACCAAAATCCCGAGGCCGACCTAGTGGTGGTTTAGTCACTTTTGTTTCTACCAAGCTAAAATGCAAGGCCCGGCAACAGCAGTGGGTGAAGAGTAACAATTTACAAATCTTACTTATTTCTAGCAGTGAAGGAGGAGATTTCCTTTGCTTTAATATATATATCCCTCCCATAGGCACCCCTCCCCAGTCGTCACAATTCTGGGAAGATTTAGAGCTATGTTTGGAGAAGGC